GAGAAGAAGAAGGAGATGCCCACAAAATCAGATGAAAAAGAAACACAAAATTAGCAGGGGACATACATTTGCTCCCTACAAGTGAACAGGAATTTAGTGTATATACACATAACAACTTTCACCGATCGCATGTTTTCATTTCTTAATTCCTTATAGCATCTTTGTTCAAGGGAGCCTGCTATCTGTAATTACCAAAAAAAAAATAAGGTTACCTTTCTACCACAAAGAAAATGAGTGTTACAAAGAAAAAGAAATCCACGACTAGAACAAAAGCAATCCATTTTATATTTGAATTTTTGGTAAGTAAAAAAATGATAGCTTGCTAAGATATACAAAGCATTTATATAATTCAATTTTCCTCTTATTATCACAGCTAAAATATTGTGTCATGGACAGACAATTCTTTTAACACACAGACACACACATAAATCATCACATACCTTAGGAATGCGCATAGGGTTTTTTGCACCATATTCACATAATTTACCGATCTTTCTGTCACTCGGTTCTTCTTCCTGTAAAGCAGAGAAAACAAAAAAGGTCATCGAAATTGAGCAATTCTGGAACAGTTGTGCGTGTGAATTCAGATGAAGAAATAGCATTCATCACTAATTTGAAACCGTAGCTTTCGGAAGAAACTTCATCACCACAAGTCCAAAATTTAGAGCAGAAAATGAAAATTCTTCAGGAGAATTAACACGCACAAAATAACAAGACAAAACAAATCATTTTCCTTTGCCCAATTATAAGTTGGCCAACCAAATTCAACCTTCATCTATAACTTTCCAAGTGTCAGCAGAAAAACATTTTCTTTTAAAAGGAGTTACGTATTTCAGCTGCGAGAAGCTACAAGTACTTAAGAATCAAAACTTCGTGATCTTGGCGAAATACAAGCTGAAAATCGACCGAGTCAATTGAGTGTTTGGTAATTAAGTTGTCTAAAAGTTCTTACTTGTTTGAAAAATCAGACAAATTCTTAAAACGCAACCTCACACGCCTCATTAAAGATTCTGAATAAAATTATCATGTATTAAAGCCAATACCTTTTACTGATTCCAAACACTCCTCAAACCACAAAATAGAACCCATACCATATGATCTGAGATAAGTTGCGAGAATTTGGTACTCTTCTCAGAGTATTTTATTAAAATAAAAACTCACCGGGGGCCGGGGAAAAATATCCGAAATCAGCTTCTTGTACCTCTTCACGGGCTGCCTAGACCTTGCCCGCAACCCAGGGCAAAAGAAGCAAAGGCTACCACATGCTGGCAAGACTTGCCTTGAGATCACACCCGAAACAGCTTCCATAATTTTATATTACCATATAATGTGTAGCTTTTTCTCCAAGCCCACCTTCAAAATCCCAGAGCAAGCTCTCTTTCCCTTCTTTATCTCGAAAAATGAATGATTCCTCGAGAAATTAGTCGGGATAATGAGAAGGGAAAGAAAAGCCGGCAAGAGCAACACAGGCACTTTCCAATTTCAGTTACCAGCCTACATAAACATAAACACAAACACACTTACACACAGTACCTCAAATCAAATCCTCATCAGCCCAATTTGGAAGGATAAAAAAAACAATAACATATATCAGAAATTCACGAAAATGAGCGAATTTCATTAACCGTTCATCAAATCTCTTCCTTTCAAAGCTTCAAGATTCCCGATTCAAACATTGTCATAGATACAGACATTATTATTGCGGAAAATTGGGCTTTCTCTCTAAATTGTTACAATTTATGTCAAAGCTTTCTCATGGCATTCCTTAAAATTGGCTAACAGTCATCATATAATCATAAATGTACAGACACCACCACAACCCAACAATCCTGATACACATAACACACACTACCATACATGAAACAGAACACATAGGAAACCCAATTGCCTCTTGATATGAATTCAATAAAGATACACTTTTTTTATAAAAAAATAAAAGGTAAGAAAAAAAAAAACTTTTTTATTTGGTTTTACCTTCAGATCAATGCCTGTAAAGAGCAAGACCAGAAGGCCGGTAGCCCATCAAAGATTTCCAATAATGAACCGTTTTTCCAGCATTCCCCGAAACCTACGACCTCTACAAGGGTCTCTCTCCTCCTCCTCAGCCCCCCTCTTGTTTCTCTCTCTAAAATTTGCTGGACAAGATGTATTATACTATTAATATTTAAAAAAAAATAAAAAAAAAAAACAAAAAAAAAAATAACAGCCGCAATGACATCAATGATTGATATAATGTGTCTATTTATCTACTCAATTCATGCGAGGGGAATAAAATGCAGCCAATGATCAGAAAGGGATGTGGGGATAAAAATTGGAAAAATCAAAATAGTAACAGATCAAATAGCCGGGTAAGAAGATCTTGGTTCATGTCGACCGTTAAAACAAAAGACAAAACTCGCAGTCTCACTACTGTTGTACACTTGCAGACATCATAATTCATTTTTATTTTTTATTTTTTTCTGTTAAAGAAAATGTCAGTGTTCACCGACATTTTATTGAGATGTACATGAAACATTGTTTTAAGAGTAATGCTATAAGTACATAACAATGTATATAGAGGTGTACATAACACTCACATTGAGTGGGTCCCACCAGAAATAAAAAATTAAGTGGACTCCACTCCATGTGAGTGTTATGTACACCTCTATGTGCATTTATTATGTACTTGTAGCATTTTTCTTGTTTTAAATATGGCCTGGGTAGTCATAACTCATAACGACTTAATTATCAGTGCATATTATTATTGGTCCAATCATTACTATAAAAAAAATATTACTAAAATATCAAATATAGTAGTTTATATAAATTTTAAAATTAAATTCAAAAAAAATCTCTCTCTTACATATAAGTAAAAGTGTAAGGAGTTCTATGCCTGACACGTGTTGTTTATTTTCGGACATAAATCCCTTCACTTTAAACTCTTTTTTACATATCATGCCACTACATTGACCGTCCTCTTCCTTCAAAGATGGGGTTCGCGTGTCCCGGGAAATATGGTGACGTGGTAATAGTGCCCCGCGATTCTGTGGATTTGGTCGCTACTCTTTGGGAGATTTTGTAAACGGGAAATCGGTGTACGCTTTTCTCCAATTATTAAGAGAAGACCCTACAATTTCTCTTCATTTTTGCCCCCTCTATTTGCGCTCTGGTCTCAGTGTATTTCGGGAGGTTTTCAGTCTATTTTTTCTTTTTTTATAGACGTCCTTCAATTTCGGAGAAGGTTTGCGCCAGTATTCATCTGCTTTTGGGTTGTGCTTGGATGACCTTCCTCTTGCCCTTTTCACTGTATGTTTGTTGTGTTGCCTTTTTTTTAAAAAAAAAAAAATTGTTGCCCTTTGTTTTTCGAATTGGGTTTGTTTTTATTGGGGCTTCATCGTGTCGTTGTGTGTGCGTGTGGTCTGATATCTCAGTTTAATTAACGCCTGGCGCACGATTTCTGGGGGCTGGGTGCGTGGGTGATGGTGGGTATCATTTTCGCGAGCCTAAGCCTTTTGTGTGTGTGTGGTTTGCAGCCAGCTTATGGAAACTGTGCATCAATCAGGAGGTAGTGAGGGTTCTGGGTTGGGCATAAATAAACGGCAATCTTCTCTTAATAATTGGAGGGCCAAAAAACAGCGGTTAGCTCAGTCTGCTTCGTCAATTTCCAGTACGGATGCAGCAGTTCGACGGAACTTGAGCTCTGACGCTCAGTCAAGTATCGTTCAGCCAGGATTGGTGACTACCAGTACTGCCCTTGAAGGCCAACAATAGTCAGGTGCGTCATTGCGTTTTAAAGAAAGTGTGTGTTTTTTTTTTGTTTTTTTTTTTTTTTTTTTTATGTGTACACTAAATAATGCCGCATTTCGGTGCCCATGCTTCATTTCATCATGTAATCAATGATTTTGTGCTTCCGCTCCACTTCCTTTTGCAGGCAATGTGGGTTTTGTGGATGATCCCGGTAGGTGCTGTTGGTGTTGGATTGGAATATTTCTTTTAGATGGCTTTTTTTGCATGTAGATTGTACTTTTTTGAGTTTGAGTGTGTGTTACTGTGGTTGTCTGCAGGTCCGTCTACAAGTTGGGCACGTAGGCTGAGCTGTTCAATGGAGAGTTAATTTACACTAACATTCACCAGGTATGTTGTGCCACTTTTTGCGCTTATTTAGAGATTTTTTTGTGGTTTATTTGCTAAAATTAGAATGGTAATAGCAGATGAACTGTAAGAGTATTATTTCTTTTGATTTTTTCTTAATCGGTTGATGTTTTGTTTGGCCCGCTGAAGAATGTGAGGGCAGATTAGTAATACTTTGTACTTTTTTGTGGTAATTTATTAGAAAAACGACCAAGAACTGGTTTAGTTTGGTGAATAAGAAACATAGTAAGTATTGTTATTTGAATGCATCTATTGTGAAGAAAGATGCTAACTGCATTGGTAAATGCTATTTGGATTGCACATGTCCACTTGTTTTTGTGTCGTTGTATGCATAGCTTATCATGCCAAAATCAATCTATATGTGGTTTTTTTAACAATTTTCGCCTACTGAATTATGGTTCTGATTCTGAACAAGTGTGCTTTTGATTTTGAGCGACTAAAAAATAGTTTCTACAAGGGCTACCTCTTCCCCCTCCACCCGTCTCTCCATGGTCCTCAGGCTCCAACTGTGACTTCACCTCCGGACACCCGAGCTCCGCCGACGACTGTCTCGACCTCAAGCTCCTCACTGGCTACCCCACATCCAAGCCACTGTCGACGTTTCAAGTACTTCTATGTCTCCAACCTCTTACACAAAGAGAAGATTCGCCAAGGTATGGCACGAGGGAGTGATCCGCAGGTACATAAATGAAATTTGTGGTTTTTTTTTTTACACGCTTGAACTTTCTGGTGAGCTGCTTTCTATATTTGATGATCACATAATTGTGAGATAGATGATATTTTTGGAAGCGAAAAACTTTTGTTTTGCCTGTTATCATTTTAAAATGTTTCATTTTTCGTGAAGCGAAAAAAAGGTTCAGTTTTCTTATTCACATCGAAATATTATTGAGTTTAACAATAATTGTTGTTTGTTTTTTATTTTCTTTCTCTTTCTTTTTCCAATGTCAGGAATTGCTTTTTCTGAGAATTCGCGTGCCATAACCCAGAGCCATAGTGATTATTCTTGAATCTTTTTGGTCAGTTATGTATATGGTCTTAAAGATTATAGCTTTTTTGTTCTCTTTCTTTTCTTTATTGTTTTTCGTTGGGCTTTCGTTGCATGGGTGTCTTATCTTTTAGTATGTGGTTTTGGTTGGATGGTTCTGGTGGGTGAAATGGCCAACCCTGTACTCTTCTTATTAAATTTATTCTCGTTTATGTTTATAATATTATAACTACGAAGTTCCAAATGTGGTTTTTACTCGGGGTGTATAACTTTGTGTTGTTATCTTCTGTGTGTAACCATAATTCTCTTGTTTCTGGCTAACGAGATTCTAATTTGCAGGGGGAATAGTTTTGTTCACCACATCTCTAGCTCTTTACAAACGTCAAGGTATCCGTATTAATGTTCTTTTCCCTTAGATGAAATATGTCATATTTATAAGTTATATTTTTTTTTATAGCTCTAACTCACTCGAAGAGAATACAAATACTTTTCTAAAAGGTATACTTTCCTTGCAGCTCTACTTTAGAATGTGTGTTCTTTTTTCTTTTGCTTTTTTTCTCAAAAGCCACATACAAATGCTTGGTATGGATATATTTCTTATGTATATTTTTCTTATAGGGGACCACCAGACCAATGCACTATCGCGTGCTGCTAGATGAGGTTGGTTTTTCTACTTATGAGTTTCAAAATAAGTAGTTGTGTGATAGCGCCTCAGCTGAAAAAGGGCCAAATTTTTGAAATGGTGCATCGGGAGAAGAATGTGAGAAAGCTCGATTTAAGTCCGGATGGGATTTACACTATTTTTCGGATAAATGATCTTAAAAAACTCACGTGGGCTCATCTTGTTCAAGGTGCTTAGCCAGGGTACCAGGCTCTTTAATTTATTGGCAAATAGGTATTATGAAGAAGATTAATATAATTCTATAGCATTTGAACTAATCAATTTGATTTTTAAATGATTGTTTTCCGGATGGCTTTCTGTTTAAGCTTAAAAATTCGATCGTTATTAGTTTTGCGTGTTCTATTTTAGTATTAGTATACTTTTGCCTCGCAGAAGGATATCTCATCAATGGTTTTGTGAAGGTGTTTATCAATGTTCCAGGCTTACTATCTAGCTTACAATAGAGAACCAAGAGCAAGTTTGTGTTTGCTGGTTCGACAAGGGATATCGGGACTCAAATTGTACGTTTAATTATGGACTAAATTGAGTCCGGTTGTGTGGGTTACTAAATACTTACATATTAATCTTTTGCCTGCTTCTTGGATTTTGTGTTCAAACAAAAAACTTTCTATTGACGCTTTTTATAATTGGTGGATATTTTATTATATTGTCGGAATATTGAATTTGTGATGGATTGATGTGAATTCATTTCAAGCCAATTTTATAAATTCTATAAAATGTTTGCATATCTATTATTTCATTTTCCCGAATGTTAAAGGTAATTATGGACTAAACTAGATAGGCCTTGGCCGTGCGCAGCACGGCCATGCCCACTGTGTATTTTGTGTTCGTATATATTTTTATTTATGTTATATGATAATTTCATGTAAATAAAATAGCATTGTTATAACATATATTTATTCTTGTACCAGATACAAATTAAAATATAGCAATTAGAAGAACAAATTTATAGCATATATTTTGATATTATTGTTATGGACACAAAATATATATTTTTCTGTGATGGCATCTTAAATTTCATTGAGTATTCCATGTAGACAACTTATAATACATACAATAAAAGTAGATATCTTATAATACATACAACAAAAGAGATGTTTTAATCATACAAAAGATAAAATATGAGTAGTTTTAACTACAGGCATCTTATATTACATGCAACAAAAGGAGATGCTTAACCCTACAAAAGATAAAGCAGAGTTTGTTAATTGTGGTATCCTTATCATATATAACAAAAGCAGGATCCTCTAATGTAGATATTAGCACCTATTAAGAAAGCCAACAGTCATGGATAATATATAGGTAAACAGTTTCTAACTTCAATGTTTAAAGCAAAGTCAATCCTTTTTTTCCCTTGGCTTTTTGAGTAGAGGTGGCAATTCCATTTTCTGTGGAGTTGAAGCTGGA